CACCCAGTGCACTGGCCTGAGAGGCATGGCCATCCTCATACACACACACACACACACGCCCAGTGCACTGGCCTGAGAGGCATGGCCGTCCTCCTACACACACACACACACACACACACATGCCCAGTGCACTGGCCTGAGAGGCACGGCCGTCCTCATACACACACACACACACACACACACACCCAGTGCACTGGCCTGAGAGGCATGGCCGTCCTCACACACACACACATACACACACACACACACACACACACACCCAGTGCACCTGCCCATCGCAGCTCCCTGGTCTCGTTCTGCCACTAGCAACAGTTTAAAATCAGGACTTTGGAATGGACCTGGTGCCTCATCAGAAGACAGGTGAGAACTGTGTTTTTGAGTTCAGTGGTTTCTCAAAAAATAAAAAAAAAAAAACAAACCCAAAACCAGGAAGTCTCATCACCAGGTACAGAGAGGAGTCACAGTGACTCATCGGTGCCCGGGAAGAGCTGGGCCGACAGCTGCTGTCTGGGAAGCTGAATGCTGGGGAGACTACAGGGATGCTGGCCCCTTCTTTTGAAGACACAATCTGCACATGTCCATGTTCACAGATAAGCACCCAGTCTATTTGAATATGAAAACAACTGTGGGCGCTGACTAGATGCACAGCTGCAGCACGCTCGTGGCCATAAGCTCACAGTGCCGTGTGCATTTATGTGACAACTACGCATTTACTGCATGCCTTCTGTATACCTGGATATACAGGACATACTGGAGACTGCTGCAGAGAGTGGGCAGCTGCAGAGCCAGCTGCTCTAGGCAGGGAGGGCAGATGGTGCCTGTCAGCTGGCCTTGAGCCTGAGGTGTCACGAGCCGCTTTCCTGAGACAGCCACTGTGCTGAGCTGTGAGGACAGGAGGAGCCAGGTGGGAGGGCTGCCAATGGGGGGTGGCCAGGGGAGGCTGATGGGGGACACTCATGACCCCAGGCTCTGCACACCAAGGGGCAGGTGACCACACCTCACCACCACCCTGTACCATGGGCTCTGACCAACTGGAGCATGCTGGCTGCCGACGGCGGACCCCATGGCACTGAGCCCCCTTTGCAGCTCCAGTCAGAGGGTCTGCACAGAGACCCCCCCCAGGCCTCTCCTGGCCTGAAGAGCTGTCAACGAGGAAGACGCCCCTGGAGCACGGGCGCCCGGCCTCACGCCTGCGTAGGCACCCAGGTTTCCCTGAGGTATCCTTGCACCAACCTCAGAGCAGAGAGCAAAGCGTCRGCTCTCACGCTCCTGCAAGAGAGGCCTGAAGTCCACCACAGCTGGCCCCCTGCGGGGAGGGCCGGGCAGTGCGGTCCTCGTCGCCACACCTAGTTGGCTGTTCTCTATAATTTCAGAAGTATTTTTCAATTACGTGCATGATTGCAGAGGCCAGCCAGGTTGGAGGCGAGAGCTCTCCAAGCCCATGTTGATTGAAGTGCTTAAGTTTCCTGCAAACTGTACAAAATCAAGACACCATTGTGGAGACCAAAAGCTTCAGTGGCTGTCAGTGATTAGCCTAAGTGCAGGACTGGCCACCCTTGTGAAAATTCCAGTTGGTAAATGTGAAAAGGGCAAAGCCACCAAGCTACTGGCCTTGTGCGGGTGCCTGGGTGGGGCGGCATCCTAAGGAAAGGTCCTGGGGAGAAGGAGAAGGTGCCCAGGAGGGACTGGTCTTAGCCCAGGACCCAGTTCCAAAACAACACTCAGAACTGTCTGTTAGACAGTGGGGTCCACAGGCCTCTGCCCGGGGCCTCTCCCTGTGACAGTGGGGTCCACAGGCTTCTGCCCGCGGCCCTGATGGAGGCGAGGCCCTCTGCCCGTGGCCCTGGTGGAAGCCAGGCCCTGTGGCCACGCACCCTTGTCCTCACCTGTCAGAGACACACCCATGAGGCTTATCAATCCTTCTTTGAAACCAACGTCAATGAACACAGGCTCTTCATCTTTGGCCAGCAGCCGCCCCTGCCCAGCCTCTCTGGTCAACACAGTGCCTCAGAGCGCAGGCCCCCACCTACAGCCAGAGAGGTCCCCACTGTCTCGGGACAGCTGAGCTCCTGACCCCAGGCAGCAGATGTGGCAGGCCACACAGCATGTGGAGGGCACCTCCCTCCTGCCTGAAGGTGCACTGGAGGCCAGCAGGGCCTGAGGCGGGGCCGGCATGAGCACAAAGCCGCAGAGGTCACGGTGCCACACTTGGCTTGGGGTGGCCTAGGCCTCTGGAACTGTGGGCATGGGGATCTCACAGACACCACACACCCACGTGGCCATGGCACGGAAGGTCCCCAGCAACAGAGAAGAAGCAGCAGTTCTAGTCTGTAACATCCACATGATGGCCCCCAAGGTCAGCAAGCCGGCCTGCTCCTGACCATCCTGCTACCAGGCCTCAGGAGCTCTCCAGGCAGCAGGCAGAGGGATTCCATGGCACGTAGCCAAGGGGAGGAGGATGGGGAAGTGCTGGCCAGCAGTCACGGAGGCCCGGCCCCGGGGACCCCCTCCAGAGGACAAGGACCCACAGCGCAGCAAGCAGACGAGGGGTAGACCTGCCCCAGGCCTCCACGGTACGGGCAGCAGAATTGGTAAGGCCAGCTGGAGGACTGCAGATGTCCACTGTACTCCTCCAGCAGACAGCTCCCTGAGACACTGTGGACACGCAGGGCGTCCCACACGCACACGGAGCACACGTGGCGGGCCTGTGCCTGTCCAGCAGGAGCCCACGCCCACCAGTGCCCAGGCAGGGAACCCTGGTAGCTGTCCTCAGGACCCACCTGGAGCCTTCTCCACGAAGATGACCTTGGAGTCCTGCAGGAAGTTGTGGCCTGACAGCACCATCTTCTTCCCACCGCCAACTGGGTAGCTGTCCAGACTCTGCTTCTCCACCAGGGGCAGCTCCTGGGCCGAGCGCTGGGCTGCATGGGTGAGAGGACAGTGAGAGTGGCCCCCAGGGAAGCTGCCATCTGACCACCCCGGGGCTGCCTGACCCTGGTCTGAGATGGGTCTCCCACCACAGGACACGGAGGACGGAGGGTGCCCTGCTCTGACCACAGCCTTCCACGGGTCACTGCCAACTCTCAGAATTCTGCATCTGGTGTAAAACTAGGACACTGCCCTCAGCGCTGGACGCTGCTCACCTGACCCCAGTGCTGGCCCTGGCCCTGACACCAGGGAGGCCTGCGGGCTGGCCTCGGCCTGAGCTGCAGGACCCATGCGGTGGTGGGAGAAAGGGCAGGAGCCAGGAGGCCTCGCTCTGTGACTGAGGCCAGGGGCGGGGGCCGAGAGCAGGGCTGGTTGGCTGGAGGTCCAGGCAGGTGGCCAGGAGTGGACCCCGGGAGGCCTCGGGCAGAGGAGCTAGAGAGTTTCCGAGTCAGCCACATGGAGGGGGCATGCCTTCCTGGTAGGAGGCTGCCCTTTAGGTGACAAGGGCAGAGAGGTGGAGAAGGCAGCAGATGACAAGGGGACCCAGGGTGAGCAAAGCCTGGCTGCCCCCTGTGAGCCCAGACCCGCTCAAGACGCCACGGGGCTCCAGGAAGCAGGGAATGATGGGAAGACAGGCTGGTGCAGAGGGTTCTGTGCAGAGCTGACCCAGAGTCAGCCCAGCAGACAGAGGGGAAGGCTGCAGACTGCCATGGCCCTCCCGAGCCACCTCTGCCAACTGCCACTGTGCCCAAGAGCAGGCAGCACACAGCCACACAGAGACCAGAGGCACAGAAGCCTGTGGCAGCAGAGAGATGAATGTCTACATGGTTTTACCCTTCACGCTTGGGGCTGGGGTGAGCACGTGCCTAAAGTGTGTGAAGTCCTGGGTTGTAACCCAGCACTGCACGCACACACACACGCACACTCACAGGCACACACACTCACACATACACACTCACACGTGCTCATACACCCACACACACACACTCATTTGCACTCACACTTGTGCACACACATTTACACCCACACACGCACACTCTCACACATGCACACTCACACTCACATTCACACACACACTCACACATGTGCACACACTCTCACACATACACACTCACACATGCTCATACACTCACACACACACTCACACATGTGCACACACACATACACATTCACACATGCTCATACACTCACACACACACACTCACACATGTGCACACACACATACNCACACACACACTCACACATGTGCACACACACATACACATTCACACATGCTCATACACTCACACACACACACTCACACATGTGCACACACACATACACACTCACACATGCTCATACACTCACACACACTCATTTGCACTCTCACACTTATGCACACACATATTTACACCCCCACACACGCACACTCTCACACATTCACACACACATGTGCACACACTCTCACACATACACACTCACACATGCTCATACACTCACACACGCACAGTCATTTGCACTCTCACACTTATGCACACACATATTTACACCCCACACACACACTCTCACACATGCACACTCACACTCACGTTCACACACACACACTCACACATGTGCACACACTCTCACACATACACACTCACACATGCTCATACACTCACACATGCACACTCACACATGTGCACACACACATACACACTCACACATGCTCATACACTCACACATGCACACTCACACATGTACACACACATACACACTCACACATGCTCATACACTCACACACACTCATTTGCACTCTCACTTATGCACACTCACACATGTACACCCCCACACATGCACACTCTCACACATGCACATTCACACTCACATTCACACACACTCACACATGTGCACACAYTCTCACACATACACACTCACACATGCTCATACACTCACACATGCACACTCATTTGCACTCTCACACTTATGCACACACATATTTACACCCCCCMCACACACACTCTCACACATGCACACTCACACACACTCACTCACACATTCACACACACTCACATTTACACTCACACACGTATTCAGGTTTGCTCAGTCGGATGGACTGCAGTGCCAAAACCTTTGCTCAAGTTTCCACATCAGGAAGTGGAGTGCACTCGGGGTGGCAGTGCTCCTCGCAGCGTGCCAGGCTGACTTTCTGCTCTACTCTGCCCTGCAGGACGGGGTCAGAAAAGCCAGGGTCCCAGGTGGCTCTGCATCCCCCAGCTGCCCAGGGGCGTGCAGCTCAGAGGGACCACCCCAGGTGCACAGAGAGCTGGTCTGGGTGGCAGGGAGCAGGTATTCCCTGGAGCACGTGCTAACCCAGACACAGCAATGGGGCTGTGCTCCAGGTCCACACCAGGTGAGGGAGACAGGCAGAGGCCAGCACCTGGGCCAGACTCTCTCGACCTGTGCCCAAGGGACATGCCCTGCAGTCTACTCACAGCACTCAATGGGGTTCGAGGCGACCTGCAGGGACAGCGTCCGGCCGCTGGGCTGTGGCACGTGCACTCGGAAGACCAGCCGCACCCTGGTGTTCTTCCTGCCTATGTCTGTCTCCCCTTTCCGCAGCTCGATGTCTGAGTTTCTGAGCTTCAGAATCCCAGCGCAGTCAATGCTGCCCAAACAAAAGGTCACTTGACACCTGAACTTGAACCGCCCAGCCTCCCAGGCCCAGCCCACCCACTGGGGCCTGGCCAGCTCTGCCCCTCCTTGTGAGTGGCCCTGCCCCACCTCCCCAGGACAGGCAGCAGGACGGGATCAGGTAGTGAGGCAGCCGCACGGATGTGCCTGCCACCCAGGCCCAGGCGGGCCAGGACCTTCCCAGGCGCCCTGGGCTCCCGTTCTGCCACAGCAGACATCCAGGAGCAGCCCTGGAAAGAGCCCCGTGACCTGCCACCTTCCCCTTGTGTCCCCAGCTGTCCTGGAAGCTGCGAGGAACACGTGAGGCCTGTCCCAAACACCCTGTTTCTCTGGAAACCTTCTCCTGGCGGCTGTCCCCTGGGTGATCCCACGCATGTCTGGGCCCCAGCACTGAGGCCATGTTCAGATTCTCCAACCACAAAAGCCAAGACTTCTTCCTCCACCAGCCAAGAGAGCAGGCACTCAAGCCTGGGTGGCGGGCCACGGGACCCACGCATCAGCACCAGCAGCGCCAGTGTACTGCGGGCCGTGTGGGGGAAGGAGGGCAGCAGGTCAGCCGCACATGCCCGTGGCAGCACGRACCTCTCCCCACCGTCTGGCCCTAGCCATCCCTGGGAAACAGGTTCGGGATGAAGCCACGGTGGGGGGAAGGCGCTCCCTCGGTTTTGACTTGAGGGTTTATAAGTCATAAATAGCAAAACAAGACCCTCACAACGCCTGGTCCCAGCAGCCCCCGCCTCACTCTCTACTCCCTAGTCAGCCCCTTGGCTCACCACACAAGCCTCCTCACTGCCCAAGGGATGCCCAAGGCACTCCTGTCCTTGACCTTGGCGGGTGCCACTGAGGGCCCTGGAAGGCCCACCCCTTCTGTGTGTCAGCTCTCTGCTAGACTCACGTGGCCAGAGGTGCTGCCCCTGAGCTGCAGCAAGGGCACCAAGTCCCCACTCCTGCCCCGTCCCCTCTCCCTGCACATCTCATCACCACCCGCCCTGTGCGCGTCCATCTGTGTCCACTGCTCCCAAGTGAGCGCACTCGGCCCTCCCAGAAGGAGCTGTGCCCCTGCATCTCCATTGCACATCTGCTTCCCGCAGCGCAGCCGGGTCTGACCGCACCCAGAGTGGCCACAGCCGCGGGTTAGTCCCTCACTGTCAGAGATGGGCCTCCCTCTTCACTCCTCAAATGTTTGCATTTCAACTCTCCTTTGATTTGCCCTGCTGTATTCAGAAATAAATAGGTGTCACGTTCAGGAGCTGACTGGACACCCTGGGGAGTTCTCACAGCTGTGCAGTGGAGACTTATTCTAGGTGCCAACATACACAGGGGCCGAAACCCAGAAAGACACAGACCCACGGCCACGACTGTGTGTGAGGCTCGCGGGCCCCGAGCGCCAGGCCACGTACATGGCTCTCATGTTGTTTTCCGGCAGCAGCGGGATCTCCAGGACCTTGGTGTTGCACAGGAGGGCCTCGTGGCTGGTGGTGGAGACGGTCTTCCCCGTGATGCGGTGGACCTGGTAGAAGGCGTGGGGCCGCAGCAGGCGGTCGTCCGCCGTCCCGATGAACAGCTGCAGCGTGAGCGGCTCGTTCTCCAGGTAGCCGTGCAGCTGGCAAGAAAACAGACTCCCCTGAGACTRGGCACAGAGCCGTGGGAGGCTCAAGGAGGAAGGAGGCGGTGCCTGCGCTCAGGTCTAGCCGCCACCCTCTGTTCCTGTGACCCACACAGGTGCTTTCTAAGGTTGTACTCGGAAAGCCTCCCATGGTCCTGGACACAGGTCAGGCTGTGAGCTCGCCCACCCCCATTTTCACACACACAACACATGTGCACACGTGTGTTCACACACAGCTGCACACATGTACACCACTCAGGCCGCATGCTCATGTGCTTCTGAGTAGACCACCGCCATGCTCCTGTGGGCATCCTCTGCCCAGGCAACACTGGTGGCCTGCAGGGGCCACCTGTCTTCTCAGCCCCACGGCCTTCCCACAGGGTCGCAGAGGTTCTGAGGAGGGAGAGGCTGTGTGAGGGAGGCAGGCTCGCTCGGCTCCCCCGGGGACCAGGCCTGTCCTGCCTTCAGCTAACTGGAGCTGGGCACGCACACATCCTGCTTTTGCAACCAACAGTGCATGGAACCAGGCCAGGCTGGGCATCCCTCTTCCAACCAGCGGGCTGCGCCTCACCTCCCCCTCAGGCAGCTGCAGCCACATGGCTGGGACACAGGCCAGCTGTGGTCAGATCAGCAGGCCATTGGCAGCCAGGGGCAGACCCCACATGGCAGAATGCCCACGACATTCCCATCATCCCTGCACTCAGCAGAGCCACTGGTACCGCGAGGCCTCAAGAGCATCGGACCCAGGACCCACGTGCCTGGAGGGAGACGTGGCCCAGAGCAGGCCCAGGGCAGCCAGATGCACCTGCCAGGGTGGCAACACGTCCAGGACACACTCAGCAGGGGCCCACTTCTGGGTCTGTGTGCTGAATACCAGTTCCCTTTGGGGTAAGTGACCAGAGCTTGGGAGGCAGGGCTGGGCTGCTGGACCCATGTCACAGGCTCATCCAGGCCTCCCTGGGCTCCACATGGCTCCCCGACGGCTAGTCAGCCACCGAGGAACCACCTGCTCTGCTCTAGCACCACC